ACTTTGTAATCAAAAGATAGAATTTCCAAACACAGAATCATTTTATACTTTGACCATGGACTAGGAGACACCACATAAATTTCTTTTTTTATTTTTATTTTTTTTTTGAGAGAGAGAGAAGGCACGAGGACGGGAGGGGCAGAGAGAGGAGAGAGAGAGAATCCCAAGCAGGCTCTGTGCCATCAACACTAAGCCTGATGCGGGGCTCGAACTTACGAACTATGAGATCATGACCTGAGCTGAAACCAAGGGTTGGGCATTTAACCGACTGAGCCACCCAGGCGCCCCAACACCACATAAATTTCTAACAAATAGAAATTGCATAGGTCACATTCTATACGATAAAAGGTGTCCTAAAACAACATATCCTGTAACAATGCTTCATGTCCTTTAAGGCATGAAACAAGGAAAAGATAATTACAATATGGAAAACAGACAAAAAGCTAACAACTATCATGTGTTTTTTAAAACTCCTATCAATAAGGAAGAATAGGATAACGAGCAAGGGAAACAAACAGAAAAAACCCGGGGGCATGAAAATGTTCCCAGCCTGACTAATCAGAAAAAATGCAAATCAGGGTAAGATAATAATTTTGCACATTATATCCACAAAAATTTTAAAGATTGATAACGGTGGGTACCATGTGGAAATATTGGCCCTTTAATCTGCTCTCAGTAAGAATGTAAGTTGGTACAAGAATATTCAGAGTAACAAGAGGGAAGTGTTCCTGGGAATGAGAGCTCAAAAGGAAACAGCCTGTACAAGGTGGTTATAAAATTGGTCCGTTCAGAAATGCATTCCTGTCACAGTCAGTTGCTTTAAAAAGAGAGCTTAAAGGGTCAGCCTTTAAAAAAGGAAAGAAAGAAGGTGCCAGCCTCTTAGTCCCCTCCCTGGCTGCACCTGAGATGAACTTTTGTCCAGTGTCTGGTCATCTCAAAAAACAGACGGTCTGCAGCCAGCCAGAGCCAACCAGCCTCTCCGAGGCTCCTGCCCTTGCTAGGAGCATCCCCACATCATCTCCATGAGGAAGGCAAGATCTCCATTTTGCAACTGAGGAAACCGGCTCAAATAGGCCCGTGACTTGGCCAGAACCGAATGGCTGATGGGTGGCAGATCCCATTCACCGTGATCACACCATGATCACGAGGATGGTTCTGTGAATGTGATATAAAGAACTATGGGGTATGAAGTAGGGAGAATTGGGTGAGTGGTGGGTGTCTTTTCTGACAAGCCTGGTTGTATTTTTATATTTCTGAGGGGGAGTATGGAGAAGGGAGGTTTCTAAAACTGCAGTTGCCCCTGAAACTGCTGGAAGGCATGTATACCAATCCAGCTGCAAGGAGTGAGGCTCTGGAGGTGTAGAAGAAGCAAACCAGAGCTCAGGTATTCCTAAGTCGGCCCCCTTTCTGAGAATGGGCGGAAAGTGCAGCATCGTGGCCGCCTGAGCAAGGGCCGGCTCTGCCCTCTAGTGTCCGCAAGGAGGCACAGCTCGGCCTCAGGACAGAAAGACAGCGCCTCCTTCAGCCTGGGAGCTCCCTGGCAGGAAGGCCCCAGAGCAGGACTGAAGAGTCTGACCTAAGTGCTCACTCAGAAATTCCACGTACCCTGAGTCATAGCCAGGGAAAGGCCCAGGCGGCCCTGAGAATCAGAAGATTCAACCCTAGCCTGCTGGCCTCCCAGCCTTCCTGACGGTCGTGGAGTGCAGAGGACTGACACCAAGTGTTCTCAGTGGCGTGATAGCCTAGCACTTGTTCCTGTAGAAAGCCCAGGGGTTGAAGAAGAGAGTGGCGGAGGCGAGCACTGGCACTCAGGAAGCAGCCCATCCTTGGAACCTCGCAGCCGGCAGGCCCTGGGCACCTGCCTTCCCTGCTGGACTCAGCTTCTCTGATCAGAGCCGGAGATGCCCAGCGCAGGGAAGGGCCCCTTCACAAAGGGCTTTGGGAAAATACAGCCCTACCCTTTAGGGAAGGAGGAGCATGATAGCTCTGGGGGCCTCAGAAAAAAGCCCCAAACTTAGGAGAAACCAGGCTGAAGCTTGAGGGGGGCAGGGACAACACAGATTTGAGAATCAGCCTGGCTTTGCCGTTCCTCCCTTGCCTTATGACTTTATCTTTTCCTTTCCCTCTCATCTCTGGGGGGAAAAAGTTTCTCCCCTTCTTTTCCTTTCCCTCTCATCTCTGGGGGGGAAAAGGTTACCCTTGCGTCCTTCCCTGTCTCTACTGAGTTTTTGCCATCAGCTTTCTTATCTGAATCTCATCTCTGCTCTTTCCACTCTGCTACCATATTTCCCTTTCCGCACAAATATGCACCAAGTTGCCCAACCTACAAATGTTTCTGCAGCCTCATCCAGGCTCGGCTGCTGTCTCCCCTGCTCTCCACAGCCATATCTCTGCGAAGAGGAGCCTGTAGCCTTCACTTACCCATTTTTTTATTGTCCTATTTTCTGTTTCTCTCTCTTTTTTTACACACCTTATGATATAATATGCATACTGTTCTGCACCTTGATTTATTTTTTTTAACTGAACAGTACTGCTAGATTCTTTTTTTATCAGTACATGTTTCTTTATGGCAGCACAATAGTCCTGCTTATGTATATACCATAATTTATTTTAATTAGTCCCATTTTGGTGAATATTTAGGATGAATGATGACTGTTTAGTCTTTTGCTATTAAACAGTGCTGCAGTTAATAACCCCGCATGTGTCATGTTTTGCACATTTGCAACTTCTCTATCTGTAAGAAAATTCCTGGCAATGGAATTGGTCTAGTGGGGAACACAGCTGATACAGAAGTAAACAAAAATATGTCACTGCAGAGATATCAAGTGCTGTGAAGGCAAAGAATGAGGTGTTATGAGAGGAAAACCAGGCTGTAATTCAGACCGAGGTCAGGGAAGGCCTGTCTGGTTCCTTTAAGCCGGAAGAGTGAGTGGGACCATGGGTGGGGCCTTTGTTTAAGGTAGACGCAGAATACGTGGGAACGCTGGAGCTGAGAGTAGGGCGGAGGGAGGGGGGGCTCTTGTTCACTTGTATTTACAATCTGAACCAGCCATCACGTTTCCTTTGAGACCTTGTCTTGTTTCTGTTGACCCTGGAAATAGTTTCTTATATCAGAGGCTATGATAATACGTCACATCTGTATTATGCTTTGCAGACTTCAGAACACTTTCACTCACCGGAGGGGGTCTTTACAGCCACCCTATGAGAAGGCAAGAAAAAATGGGCTCAGGAAAATAAGATGGTTTGCTAAGGTCACAGCAGTAGCAGGGGGTAGGGCCCCAACTAGACCCCGTTTCTCCTCACTCTGCCCATCACACAGTCATTCAGCAAACAATTCCTGAGCACTGTCCCGTGGCAGACACCATGCGAAGTTTGTTTCCTTCGGTACTAGTCTTCCAGCACTCAGAAAAAGCAAGCCTTTTCCATCTGCAGCCTCATGTTACCATCACAGCAGCCCAGAGTGGTTGACAGGATCCCACCATACAGCCGAGACAGGCACACAAATAAAGAGGCTTTCTCCAAATGACAGGGCCCCAGGCCTCTTCCCAAGAGATGAGATTGCTCAGGATTTCTTGGACTTGCTCCTCAGGCTGTTTTGTAAGCCTCCCACGTGATGCTTTTTCTTTTTAGATGTGATGACCAGAGAGGGCAGGGGAACTTCCAGTCAGCCCTGCTCAGTGAACCCCAGCCCTGATCGAAGCTCCTGGCCTAGGGTGGCCTCCCGAGAGGGGGCGGCTCTGGTGGGAGTGGGAGCCCTTGATGATAGCTGGAGATCTGTGTTTGGCACTGGTCTCCACATTCCAGGAGCCAGCAGCTCCGAGTGTCTGGGCCTTTCTGCCCTTTACAGCTCCTCCCCCATCCCCTCTACCTGCCCCTTCATTCCTGTGATTGATCCATAAATGGAAATGCTGGTTTGAGGAAAGGACAGACTTGTCCACATCTTGAGGAAAAAAAATGGGAACCTTAAGTCAAACTGGAGCAGCAGGGACAATGACCTGACACACACAAGAGCCGTTTTCTCTCAGCAGTGGCAGCTTTGACCGCCAGGGAGATTGAGAAAGGCTGAGTAGCATGTGGCCTAGAATTCTCAGTAGGAGTCAGGGCCCTCTGAACCAGATGATCCAGGGGGAAATGGCTCAGAGAACCCAACCCCTCATGCCATCACTCTGCTGCTTACCCCCTGCTCCCCCACCTCTGTCTCGTCTGCCCCTTCCATCCTGCCTCACCGAGCACTCCCTGTTCTATTTCCTGTGATTGCCCAGGGAGCAGCCACGTGACTCCATTTGGTGCCTCTCCTCTGGCACCTGCCAGTCAGCCCAACAGCCTCGCAGATATGGGCAGCCTCCTGGGGCCCGGAGTGCCAGCTGCAGGTGTTCCTAGCAGGTAGGTCCAGACCTCACAGAGTCTTAGGGAGAGCCTTGCTTTTCCCAGCCTGCTTTGCTCCTCCCGTTGGGCAGGACAGGGTTTGCCATCTCCCGGTCCCTTGCCCAGCTTCTGTCCTTGGTCCTGGGTGCCCTGCATGCTGACTTGTCTCCCCATGTCACAGCATCTTCGGGGTGGCCGGCCAGGTCCCCACGCTCCAGTCGGCCACAGCTGGTGGAAGCAGCGGCACAGGGCTTGCCTTTGGAGGTGAGTCTTGCCTGAGGGGACCCAGAAAAGGGATCCAAGGCTGAGAGGAAACAGGGAGGAGGGTGGAGAGAGAGCACACCAGATTTAGATGAGTGCTGTCATCTCAGTAGCAACCAAATGAGAAGAGTGACCCTCTCTTTCTCCCACCTCTACCCCATGCCACCCTGAGCAGCCTCCACCAACCCTTTCACAGCGCCTGCTGCTCACCCCCAGCTGCCTCCCACCAACCCGTTCCAGCCCGATGGCCTGGCCGCAGGTAAGCCCCAGGACTGTGCTGGCCCTGGCTCTCCTGGGCTTGGATTCCTCTCTCCCTTCTCTCTCTCTCTCTCTGTCTCTGTCTCTCTGTCTCTGTCTGTCTGTCTCACACACACACACACACACACACGCGTGTGCGCGCACGCATGCACGCACCCCACTGTTGGGAGGAGTGGAACAGCCTCACTAGGCAGCTGTGGTAGTCCTGAAAGTCCCCCTCTTGCCCTTCACCAGGCCAGACCCCGTGGAATTTCCAGGCCACCTAGTGGGCAAAGAGCAGAAGCACCCAAGTCCCAGAATATATTTCAGAAAACAGAATCCTCCTTACCTGAGCTAGTTCTGAAGGTTTAATGACGGATGTGGCAGCCACTCTCCTTTCCTGCCCCTGGGCAGTGTCCCGCCAGGCCCCCAGCCTCTCTCCCTCCTGTGTCCCACCTGCAACCTTGCCCCTGGTCCCGGCTCCTGTCAGCTAGTGCATCCCGCATTCCTCCCCAGCCTCAGCTTTTCTCTCTTCCAAGGCCTGCTCACCCCACCACCTGCCTTTTTGTTGTTGTCATAGCTGTTCTCAAAATCCTTGAGGCCAGGAAGACAGACTGATAACAGCTAGCAAGCTGCCCACTGCTGAGTGCTTTACACCCATTATTTGCTTTCCACAGCAGCCCTAGGAGAGAGGAGGACTCCAGTTTTATAGTTGAGAGAACTGAGGCACACAGAGGGCTAATCATTTGCTTTAGTTGATGCAGTTTGACAGGTAGCAGAAAGCTGCCCCTGGTTCTGTGCCCCACCTGTGCCCTCCATGCCACAAGCTGTGGGTACAGGAAGAAGGCAGGTTTTGCCAGGTTGCATGGAAGTGGAAGGTTTCAGTCAGAGTACTTCTGCGGGGTACCTCTGGTTAAGGAATAACTATATCCCATGGCCCCAATTTGGAGAGATTTAGGAAGAACTGTTCTCCAGCCTGCCTTCCAGAACTTCGCATGAACTTCATGTCCCTCGTTCCACAGGGCCCAGCTTTGGGATGAGCAGTGCTGGGCCTGGCTTCCCCCAGACAGTGCCACCCACCAGGGCCTTTGTCAGCACCTTCCCACCACCGCTGTTCCCCCCACAGACCTCGATGACTCAGCAACAGAATGGTAAGGGATTCAGACCATACCCTCCTCTCTTGCCCCCATTCCCCACCCCCAGGGGTGGGGTTGGGGGGGGGGTGGCAATGAATATTAGGGATATTTGGGAGCCAGACATCTGAGCTAGTTCCCTTTTGGACCATTAGGGGGACCAGAGAAGCCACAGACCTTCCTGTGTCCTCTGACTGCTCTGTACCCTTATTCCCTGACTTTAGAAAGGCCCAGTCTTTTTTTTTTTTTTTTTAATGTTTATTTTTGAGAGAGAGAGAGAGAGCACAGGCAGGGGAGAGGCAGAGAGAGAGGGAGAGAGAGAGAATCCTAAGCAGGATCCTCACTGTCAGTGTAAAACCTAGTGCGGGGCTTGAACCCACGAACTATGAGACCACGACACAAGCCGAAGTTGCATGCTCAACAAACTGAGCCACCCAGGTGCCCCTAGAAAGCCCCAGTTCTGCTGCCACTGTGTGATGTAAAGGTGCCCACCCAGCAGGGAGGCCGGATGTGCCTGGTCAGCACCAACGTGAGGGGCAGGGTTTATGGCAGCCTAGTTTTTACTCTTGCTTCCCAGGCTCTTCCTTCAGTGACTTAGGATCAGCCAAACTGGGGCAGAGGCAACTCAGCCAGCCATCTGGGACATCCACCAACCCCTTCATGGTGAGTGCCAGCACGGCCTCAGTGTAGAGTATGGCCTCTCTCTGAGGGCCGGGGACAGAATCCTTCTGGAACAGAGCAGTGTGGGATGGAAACCCTGCCTTGGCCAGGCAGGAGAGTGGGTTAGTCAGTGGGCTCACACCCCCTCACGTCCAACTCGCCTCCACTCACTGACTTGCCCACAACCCTCACCACAGTAATTCTGGGGAGAAAGGAATCCTGGGCTGCATCTTTTCTGTGGCCTCCGGCTTTTCTCCCCTAATCCTCTAATTTGTGGTTGTTGTTTCTTTCCAGACTGGATCCTCATCAAGCCCGTTTGCCTCCAAACCTCCAACCACCAACCCATTTTTGTAGCACTGTGTCCTGGGGGGGGGCCTCCTCCCTGCCCTCTGGGGCCCCTTTACTCCCAGGAGCTCTGGTGACCATTTGCCTGTGGCATTTTTGTGGGTCTGAGACCAGAATGGGCCTTGTTTTGTAGGGAAGGGGTCTTGGGGATGGTGGAAGTGCTAATGCTTTGCTTGGGGCTTGCAGATAAAAGGGCTGCTGCCCATCAGGTGCCCCCAGGGCTTCCTCCCATCCTCCCTCCAGCCCCAATCCAGGCAGGAGGCCCAAGAAAAGAGAAGTCAGGGCTTAGCCTAGAGGAGCGATGGCGTTTGATTTCTCAAATTATTAATTATGATGACAATAATCCTCCTGTCTTGCCCTCAGCATACATAGTGGTCCCTTCACTCCCAACCCCGTGGGCGAAGGAAGCTGTGGGCACAGACTGACCAACATACCCCTATGGGAGCAAGCCTTCCCCCGTGTCCACAACATCCGTGCTGGTCTCCTTGTGGACAGAAGCACAGTGGGAAAAGTAGGGTCAAGGTGGAGATGAGGCGTGTTGTTGACCTGGGATGGTGATCAGACAGGCTGAGAAAGCTGTGGGTGGGGGTGGAGGTGGGTGGGGGGCAGCTCAGCCTCTTCTCCCCACCCCCACGGGGCAAGGAGGCCCTCCATGTTTTTGCTTTCCTGGCTCCCTCCCTCATCCTGGTATTCAGGATAAATAGTTTTACCTACATACTTAGACATGCCCAATTCCTGTCAAGCACTTTAGTTAGCTGTGGTGTCATGTTTGGATACCAGTGTTTTATATTTATACATAGAGAATTTTCTAATATAGTCTATTATACACACACAGACACACACACACAGACACACACACACAGACACACACACACACACACCGCCATTCTGCTCCCAGACAGCTCTTTTACATGGGGAATGGAATGAATCCCCATCTGTGCCTCGACCAGCAGAGCCGGAGCTCCAGAGGGTGGTGGGGAGGGTAGTCACAAGTCCTGACCACCCCAGAGCCTGGGCTTTTCCAGGGAAAGGCTTTGTGCAATTGGCTGGGTTTTTTCCTTTCTTTTTCCCATATGCCTCCCCCACCCCACCACAAAATTCTCTGCACCAAAGCTGTTGCAGGCAATGTTGGAAAAGAACTGCATTTGAAAGAAAAAGGAAATGGCTCTAGCTGTCTTGCTTTGGGTCAGTTTGAGGGGCCCCAACGTGGCTGCTGGGTCAGTGAAGATGATGGCTGCTGTTGGGCAGGGACTAGAATTCCTTTCTGGACATGGCTGGAGTCCCCGTGTGCAGTGGGAGTTAGGTGGCTGCAGGGAGGGGGTGATGGGGGTGGGGGGGTGCCAGTGGACAGAGGAGGAAGTGCCAGCATGGAGACAGTCTCATCCGAGTAGAGCCGGTAGACCAGTGGACTACTCCCAGGTCGGTGCATCCTCAGCCCCTCTCCAGACTGTTTTCACCTGAGGATGTTATGTCAACAGCCATGGTGTCTCTGCTGTTTGTGTGGTGACAAGGTAGCCAGCGTGGGTTAAACACCTCATGTGGCAGAGGAGAGGCCCAGCACTCAGCCTTGCTGTCAAGAGAGGTTCCTCCCTTTTCCACATTGCACAGGGACTCTGGCCCTGCAGCTGTTCATTCTTGGGATTCACTGGATCTTTCTACCCAATGTCCTTTAACAGCAGAACAGCAAGGAGAGATGGAGACTGTGTTATCACTTTATTTACTTTGAGGACTTTTCTGGAAATATTTCCAGCTGCTGCTATTCACCCAGCCAGGCATGGCCTCCCCACCTTTGCAAGGCTCAGAACCCATCCTGTCTTGGATCTGTGTTCCCACTCCCCAGCCCCTTCTCTCCTTCCATTGCCTGGTGGCTCTCCCAGCGTGGACCACCATCCCTTTTCCCTGGGTTTTTCATGTTCTGTCCCCTTCTCCCAGTGTTTTTCTCTGTCCCCCTTGATTACCCCTCTGTCCCTGTCCTTGTTTTCCATTTTCTCTGCTTAGAACCAGGAAGGGAGGAAGCTGGTCTGTTGCATGGTAGGAGGAGGAGCCTTTTCTTATTTTTCCCCAGCCACCCCCAACCCCCTTTCCTAACCAAAAGCACTGAGGTTTGGAGGTGACATTGAAAGGGCCTGTGCTGTTTCAGTCACACTCCTATAGTTTCTCAAGGGTCTCCTTACTGCCTGGTGCCTGGGCCCCAGGACCTCCCTGCAGTCCCCCTCCCCACATCCTGGGCACTCTGTCCAACATGGACTCCAGCCAGCTCACTGGCCACGGCAGGGTGACCAATCAGAGAAGTTACACTGGGTCAGCCTTCAACCCCAGGACAGAACACTCGAGTTCCCTGGGCACAGGCCAAGACTAGGACTGCAGCTGCCTCTCTTGGCGCAGAGCAGCCACAGTGCTGCCTCCGTGGGGCCTCCTGTGTCCAGGCGAGCAGCAAAGAATGGAAAAATCCCTGGCCTAACAGAAAATGTCTAAATGACTGGGCTGTGTTCCTCCTACCTCACCCCCCCAGGACGCACTTACACGGCCCTGCCTGGGGGGTTACAAATCTGAACCCCATTGCAGGCACACCATGGAGCTCACCCAGGCTCCCACCGGGCTTCTGACCAAGTCCTCATGTCCCTCTGGCCAGTGCTGTGATCACACTCTGCAGACAACAGTCCTCTGGCTTGGCCCCAGCCTTCAGCAGGTCACACGCCCCTGTGGGTGAGGAAGAAGGAGCCAGTCCTCAGGATGGCTGTGAAAACTCCATTCCTTCCAGACTGGAGCTTGGGAGCCATGGTGAGGGAAGGCTGAAGGCAGGAGATGGCGGTGTCCCTGCATCCCTCCTCCACAGAGGGGGAAGAACTCCAGATGGGGGAGAAAGGGGCTGATAGGAACAGCCCAGCCTTAGGACCCCATTCTCCTTGTTTAGGCTCCTCTCGCTGGTAACAAGATTCTTCCACAGGGATTTAGAATGTGGAGATCCCATCCTGCCGCTACCCTGCACCCAGCAGAGGGATGCACAGGTAGACCCCTCAGGTTGGGAGAGGTGTTCTCACCCAGCGGGGTTGAGGTTCTGCCACTTCCTGTCCCTGGGGAGCAAGTGGAGTTACCAGAGCAACAGGCTAACAAGATCTTGTCTGGGGAGGGCCAAGGGCAATGTTGTTGCTAAGGCAACTGATTAGGCCAGTTGTTTGGCTCCAGGCTTTTCCTGGTAGCCAGCAGGCTAAATCACCTGGCACTGATTACCACCCCACACCATCACTGTTGCCCAGAACCCAGGTACTCAAATCCCTGCTGCTTTCTGCTCTATCTGTACCCAGCACTTAGGGGTTCAGTGACACAAGGTGGTCTGGAGCTGGTCTCTGTGACAGCAGCTGTGAGTTCACAAGGACTGGGGTGCTTCACGGTGGCCTGGTTGATGCGGAGTGGAAGGAGTAGGGATGAAGAGGCCCTCTGTGGATAGCTTGAAATCAAGCCTGGAGAGTAAGGCTCCAGGCCAGGAGCACAGCAAGTCCGTAGGCCCTGTGGGTGCCCTGTTCCTCAAAGCAGCACTGGGAGGGGGAGGGACCTGCAGATCTCTTTTGTGTCCTTGCTACTTTGCACCTGGTACATGTGTCAAGGCCACACTGGAGACAATGGCTTTGAGCACAATTCTGTTTGGGGGGCCACTTATGGAGCCATCACATACCTGCCTCTCCCTGACCAATACCCACCAAAAGTAGTGGCTGCCACTGGCCCCAGTGCTCACATGCTCTCTGCACCTCTCCTGCACTTGGTTGGGGGGGGGGGG